TGGTTTCTGCTTCGATGTTCTATTGGTAAATTTAAATGTTTCGTTTAATCGGTTTCTGCTTCGCTGTTCTATAAGTAAATTTAAATGTTTCATTTACTCTGTTTCTGCTTTGCTGTTCTATTGATAATGTTCTATTGATGTATGTAGACACACATGATTGAGTTTACATTTAGTTTCTCTTCTCCTCAAGATTAGGATTCATATAGAAGGTAATCTATCCCTATGTTTCTTTGACTTGTTTTCTCGAAGCACCATTGTTCGGCACATATTCTGACATGGGTATAGTAATAGAGTTATAACTCTTCAAAGAACCTCCAAATACATGGAAAAAATTTACTCGTGTAATATTCACATCCAAGTCCAATTTACGTAAGCCCATCATGAATATACAATAAAGTCCTAGGCGTTTAAAATCGTTCTAAAAGGAATCTTCTCACTGCCTGGAACTTATGTTAAGTTCATGTGTAGTCCAAAGTCCAAACTGACAGCATCTGTTGCTATCTGAAGAATAAAGTACCAGTGTGGTTTGTATCTTACCTTATCTCCTATTTCACCAGTGTTTACAGTTAAAAAGTATGAAATAATTGATCCTAGTTTTACAATTTCGCGATACAAATTTACTGAAATAAGCCAACTGCAATCACATTAATGCAATAAAGTAGAAGATGAAACCAGGAGTGTACTTTTTGGTAGAGCTAAACGAGAACGATGTTCTTGACATTTTTGAATCACTGAATTTTCTGTTAAGTTGATGTCATCACTTATCAGGAGTTTCGGTAAACATCTCCTGGTATATCATTCATTAACATAGCATCAAGTAATGTTGTTAGTAGGTCCTTTGAAATGGCACTGGAAAATTCTGCAGTTTTGCACTTAATGCACAAGTAAGACGTTTTCTTGCAATTCACAATTTGAACACAGTTTTGAAAGATAGGTTCTATATCTTCTAAATATTCCGGGATGCTGATTTCCGGTGAACTGATGTAAGCACCGCCCTTAAGCATGTTATGTGCTTGACCAAAGTCTACAAATCGCCGTGCATTATATTCAGGCATTTGGTTGCATTAAACTGGGGTTTGCTTTACATATTTGGTTGCTTAGCTATAAAATGCTTGCAGATTCACTCAAATGTTATCTTGTATTTTTTATGTTATTTTTCTTTTTAATCACAGCTAGCTGTGGAGTAAGAGAAAAATGCAATTATCGTCAAAGTCGATACCGATGACGAGTACGAATTTGCACACGATATGCAGGTAATTTGGGAGTAATATTTATTCCTCTAATTCTATCGTTTCCGCTGTTTCTCTACTTTTGTTGCTCCAACACTTCATATTTCTTAAAGTACCCATGACTAACACATATTCGAACTTGAGTTTCGGGACATTTATATACTAGATTGATGCCAATATCCGATACTCACACCTGAATCCGAGCAACGATCGAACCTATTTAAACTAGCTACATTCCGTTTTATGTTGATTTCACTAGTGATCTTCCTGTCGGATTAGGATAGTAGAAACTGAATGGAACCTGAAATTCTGATGTACCAGGTCAGAGGGTTGTCTACTTTGTTCTTCATCAGCCCTGATCCAAACAAAGAGGCAATTCGAACGGAAGGCCTCATTCCGGTACAAATGATGCGCGATATACTAGACAACGAGATGTGAATAGACGAAGACCGGTTTTTTACCTTGAAACGGAACCATTGTACTGGATTCTGCTTCAGAGCGTTGAATACATATTTTTTGGTGCCGATCGGACGCGGGAACCGTATGATCTTGTAGCAAACTTGGCATGGCAATGACCTTCTCTTTGTGAAGGGGATGCTACAACAATTATTTAGCCGACAAAGCATGTGCAGAGACAAACGGCCAGACATTATTTAGTTAATTGGTTCAATTTTGAGGGACCATTATGTTTGATAAATGTTTTATGTTTAAGCACTTAACTTTATATTAATTTAGCAATGCTTTGGCCTATTAACTTAAAATTAATGTTTTAAAAATTAAAATCATAGTAAAAAAATACTACTTCAACGATGCAATGATTCTGTTTTTATAAATATTTAGTTATGATGGGTGTCCCAATTTAATTTCAATTTTTATATATTTATATTTACTATAAAATATATAATTTGATTAGCAAAATTAAGTGGATGGCAAATAAATTGAAAAATAATTAAAATATTTTTAATTAATAATTAATATTATAGTAAGAGTTTTTTTTGGGGGGTTGAAGGTGCTAAAAGTCTATGCTTTTAGAAAAATTAATTAAGTCCTTAATTTTTTTTACATCTAATTAAGTCTGTAAATCTAAAATATTTAACCAATGTGATTATATGGTTAACGAAATTAGCGTTTGCATACGTCTTTGTTTTTTTCCCATATCTTATAGAGTAATAATTTAAATAAAAAACCAAAAACGTCAATTATTTTGTATTAAACTGAGATAATTACAAGGTGATATTTGTTCTAAATATTCTAAACCCTTTGAGAATAAAAGCTCAAAACACATTTACAAATGCTAGTGCTTGAACCACGAACATCTAATGATTACAACAATCCCTTTAAATGTCTATTTAAATTTTGAAAAAAAAAATAATAAATTATCAATATATGTTGGGCATATCAGTGAAACATATTATACTTTTAATGAGAGAATTTAAATTCAAGCATTAAATAAGATATTATTGAAAAGAACAACCACATACATTAAATTGTGAAATAAACATAAAAGATATATACAAAGAGACTAATAAATTCATATGTTATGGTTGGTTTAAGTGGTAAGCAACTTGATATTACTTTAGTAATGTCTCATGTTCGAGTACTTGTGTATGTTTAAAATTCCCGTTGGGAGACTCACCTATCAAAGCTTACGACCTGAATTGATCCAGATATTAGTCAGAGTGAAACATTTTAACTAGAGGATTTTTACAATTTCATTTATAATTATTTAATGAATAATTTTAAAAAATTAATCTAAAATGAATATCGCATATCAAAATATACCATTAATGTAATACACTAAAATACTCTAGAATTTCCCAATTTTAAATTACATTATAAAGAGTTTTTGTTCAACTACATCGACAAAACCTAGGATATATATTAATACGTGGCTTGAGATGAATTGACTTTCGTTGAAGCTCAAAATTGAAATGCCATTTGATGTTACGGCATGAGATATTATTGTTTTGATTAAACTACACATTTAGTATTTAAACTATCAATTTTGATCCATTTTAATACTTATATTTTAATTTTTTTAAAACCATACGTAATTTTTAGTTTTTATTTTATTTTAATATCTCCTCGTTATAAACTTAACACATTTAGTGCATAAACTATTAGTTTTGGTCCGTTTTAGTACCTAAATTTTCAAAAAAAAATAAAAAAAATTAAAGTTAAATTTTGAATGGAATACTAAAATAAAATAAAAACTAAACGTTAGGTATGATTTTTAAAAAAAATTAAAAATTATATACTAAAACAGATCAAAACTAATAGTTTAGATGGTAAACGAGTAATTTGCCCTAATATTTTTCTAAATTAAGATTGAACCATTTTCAACCCTTCTCTTTTGACTTTTGGGTCCAACAAATTTTCAGACGGCTGCTATTTGCAATTTGAACGGTGTGATTTTTGTTATCAAACTAAAAAAAACTTAAGGTACGTTTGGTTCGTGGAATCTTAAATTATTAAGGGGAATTTTTTTTCTGAAATTATATTCACACGTTTGGTTCACATAATCTTATATTATCAGAAATATTTTTTTCTAATAGTAGCATTTTTTGGTTAAAATTATGAGAATGTCATTACCTCCAAATTCTTAGGTAATCTTTCATTCCTACCACTTTGGACAAGAATACCCTTAGACTAATGAATTCCTTTTATAATGATCCTTCTAAATTCTTATTTTTTATTTTTTACTCAAAATTATAAAAATAATAATAATATACAAAGAGTTTGATTTACCAAAATATTAATAATTTTGAGAATTTAAAATATTTTATATTTTTAATATTCAATATTTTACTATTTATAATTTTATGAGACGAAAAAAATAGTATTATTGTAAAAATGTAATTATTTAAAATAATATTTAAGTTTTAGCTATTAAAAACATATCTTATATAATTGAAAAAATATCATTATCCACTACCATAATATTTTTTTTATATTATATATATTATATAAAATAAATATGTTACTTATGAACATTATTAAAAATATAAATTTAATATATTAATTATATATTAAATGTAATTTCTCCTCAAAGTTAAATAGTTTAACGATTAAAATATTTTTATGAATTTTCATTCAAATATTTATAAATTAATATTAAAGTTTAATTTTAAAAAATATATCACAAGTATAATTTGGTAAAATATGCATCCAAGTAATCTTATATTCCTCCAACCAAACACTATAATCTTACATTCATGCTAAATAAATCAAACAATGTAATACAATATTCTTATAGTAATGTTACATTCTAGTAACGTTATTCCCAAATATAATCTTACATTCTGTGAACCAAATGCCTCATTATTGGTTTATTAAACTTTGACTAAAATATATTTAGTTTACTAACGTTAATTCAAAACTAGTTTCATGTGGTATTATTTAATTTATCATAATATAATTCATTGTTATTTGATTTGTTTTAATATAATTATTAGAGTATGTTTGGTTCAGATAACATAAAATTACTCTGATCATATACGATTTTTAAATTTCATAACATTCTCTACTAGCAGTGATATTAAAAAAAATTATAGTTAATACTATTTGCCGGCCACTTTCCAGTGGAAGACGTGTTTTTTTAACACTGGTAGTCATACAGTATAGGAAACCGCGTTGCCCACAACCTCCGCCGGCGAAAACGCCAAGAACATGAGAGCTGCCATGATCCCAACTGGAAAGAGCATCAGAACCAACGGCGGAGGGGGTAACGGCGGCAACATCAACGGAAGAAACACCATGGACGCCGCCAATGCCACCAGCAACAATAATCCCCCGATTCCGAATCCCAAAGAAGCACCGAAATACTTGGCCATCGTAGAATCGTTTTTTTCTTCTTATCCTGTAATCGTCGTCAATGCTCTGATCATATCTCGCCGTAAAAGGCGACGAAATGGATACTTTTGGCGACGAAACGAATACTTTAGCGACGAAATGGACACTTTTAGCGACGAAATGGGTACTTTTAGCGACTGAACTCGTCTGAAAATTTCTGGAAAGAAATCTTGAATCTTAACAGATTTAGGGTTTGGGTTTTGGGGAGAACGATGAAACTAATGACGATGGGATGGATGGATAGAGAATTTTGAAGTGAGAATAGAAGAGATATGCATTCATTGTGTATATATAAATATATTAATAAAGAAATGTGAAGTTTTATGATGGCTGCGTCCAATCTCAGCCGTTGAATCAAGGTTGATGATGTCGGCTCTTTTGGACTAGAAAATCTGACTCATGTTGGGTAGCAGACAGACTCGTAGTCGTAGATGAAGGTCCCATGAATTTCATGCAATACATAAAATTATTATATTTAACTTATTATTTGTTTAATTTTTTCTATCAAACCCGATTAAAAATAATATCCCTTCTAAAGATTTTCAATTCATTTAACAATAAATACTCAAAATAATATCATAATATTTTGGGATGAGCATGGATCAATTTTTTGTCAATACAGTCGGACCAAAAATATATACCCTTTATCCGAACTTATTCCTTAAAAGAATCCGACTCGATTCGATCCCAATTTTAAAAAATCGACCCAATAAGATCGGAACGGAACCTACCGGATTTGAGTCTTGTGCCCATCCCTACTGATATTTGATGTGCTCGAATCCGAAATCTCTAAAAATAATAATCATCCTTTTAATCACTGAAATAATTTTATATGTATTATTAATTGTTTAATTAAAATTAAATACTTTAAAAAACTTTATACATAATAGGATTCGAACATAAGATGTTAGAATTTTGAAAATCTTGATTGAATCAAAAATCTCGTTCGCTCAACTTTACCATCTTTCATATATAATAGTATTAACTTATTAAATAGAAGGGTAAACTGTGTATTTAGTACTTCAGCTATCATTTTTTCCGTTTTAGTCACCTAATCATTTTTTGTGTGAAAGTCATACATATCTAGTGTTACGTTTTTATTTCATTTTAGCTACAACGTCTCATTTGAGACAAAAAGATCCTTTCGTGATTTGAAACCGCTAGTTAACAAATGGTTAATGATCTATAATAAGGGGTTTTCAACCTTAAAATGAAACATTAAGGGTCAACCTTAGAAATGGGCAATTGCCGAGAAAGCGATAACACAATAAAAATGTCGTCTCTTATAACACATGAAAGATGTTGAAAAAAATTGGATCAACAAAATACGATCCAATCCACCTTATGAAAAGTAGAAAACCACAGCTGCCATGCGTTTCCCTGGTCAATTGAACAGTCTAAAACGACATTTACCACTCCATTTAGCCACCGTAATCATGTGTTCAAATTCTTTGAAACATTTCATTATTTTCCAAGCTTTAATCAACTTTTCAATAGGAATATTCTTAATTATTTAATTGTATTTTTAGGATGATTCTGTCACGTTCGAAGAACACCGACAAACATCATTAATTTAATTTATAAATTTTAAAATTATAAAGTACTCAACGTATAATTATAAATTAATTAAAAATCTAAACGTAAATTATTTAAAATAAAATATTAATTACATTATTTTTTATAGGCTCATCGTTAATGGCACTCATCTTGCGTTATAAAATGTCCCTATTTTTTACACTTAAAAGATATAATTTATTTTAATAATTCAATTGCATCGTGATGTAACTATCACAGTTGTTAAACCTTTTTATATTAAAAATAACGAGATAATTTTAACAACCAGTTGATCTAGTGGGATAAAACACTAGATCTCTTAAACAAGGTCGGAGGTTCGAATCCTGACGTTTGTGAATGGAGCAAACTGGGTTGGGAAGGTCGCCATCGCCTCTGCTATACCCAATCTAGATTAGTCGGTCAATAGATCGGATACCAATGATTAATTCAAAAAAAAAACGAGCGATTGCTTATGGCCATATTTTTTCCCTTATAATTCTTTAATTTTCTAATCATATATTTTATTTATAATTGATAATTTAGTTTTAAGAATCGATAATCTGAATGATTAAAATACGACGTGATTTTTACAACATTGGTTTAAATCATCCGATCCTTGTGGATGAATGAAAGACTATTTGGAAAGAGGCTTCCCAGTTCAATGAATAGAGTGTGAAGAAGGGAATATGTTGAAAGCCTTTCGTACACGCTCATAACAACACATTCATTGCCGTTTTCTCATCCATACATGTTCCCCGACTCCCTACCTTACCCACACAGAGTTATTTGTATGACTTTATGATTGATAGCTCATCGTTCGAAATGTGTTTTCGTTTATAAATTTTCAGGTGAAGATTAAAAGACGCGCCTCAAATTAGAGATTTTAACCGTTTGGTTTACCAACATAATTTTCTATTTCACTACATAATCTGAAATTTAAAGGAAATTGCTCAAAAATAAAAAATGAAAAACAAGTTTTTTCTTATCTTTGGAGGGTTCACGCCAACGGAGAAGAAGATGAACACAATAACATGAAAATTTAGATTAAATTAATGTTAATTTACCTTTAATCTAATCTTAAATGAATATTTTATTCATTTAATGAAGAAAAGATCATTTTACCCTTAATGAAACTTCATATTTACCATGAAACCAAGACACTTCAACCTTATCATATTTCAGAAGTTAAATATGAACAATATATTTCTAACTTTACCATTTTATCCTTGAAACTTTCCAAAAATGACAATATTGTCACTTTAATCCAAAGTTCTAGATGTAACACAGAATTAAATCCTCAAATCCAATGATTTATATTATTTTCAAATATTTTCAAATGTGGAAATAATATTTGTAAGCCTAATTTATCATTCTTCAATTTTTTTTTGAAATTTCTATTTGATCCGATTTACCAAAATTTTTTCTCAAACTTTATCGCTTTATAGTTTTTAATACAAAATCTATACGAAAAATCTGATTCTTACATAAACATCATTATTGAGGTAAAATATTTATTTATGGGAACGAAATGCAAATTTTTAAAAATTGCCATTTTAGTTCCTAAAATTTTCTAAAAATTTATATTTTGGCCACTTAACTTTCAAATTTTACATTTTGGTCACTATCTAAAATTTGGGGTATCGCCGCCCATCATTGATATTTTTCGCAACAAATTTGGTACCAAAATGTTTGCATTTCATTTCTCTTTCATCTCTTAGATTAGTTTTTTCACAAAATTCACTTAAAATTGATTAGAAAATAATTGGACAATTCTCGACAAGCTTGGAAAACATATACTATTTTATAATCATTTCAAATTAATAAAAAAAATTGAGAAATGAAAGACTCTTTTGTTCAAATTTTGTTTCTACTTTTTTTCTCTTTGTTGTTTGGAATAAGGGACTAGATGGGTAAAATATCAAAATGTTGAGAATATTTAGAATTAGGAATAAATGAAAATTAAATGTAAAATTAAGGGTTAAATTGAATATTATACTAAATTTATTAATTATCACAACATCTGGACTCAATAATAAACATCATATAGTCAAGGGACTAATTTTGTATGTTACCCAAGAAATGAATCTTATTCAGTGATAAAAGCGCTATCACTCTAACGGTTAGCTATTGTCCTTTCTTTCTGTTTTGGTCTTACATTTGGCATATCAAAAATTGGTCATTTTGTAACCATATACACAACATAAAATATCATTATAATATAAATATATTAAGATTTATAGATGAATTAAGCGAATTTAATAGTTAAATGAATTATTATTATCTTTAAAGGTCTTAGGTTTTCGTTTAACGTGTGTAAGGATGTTTGAATATTTATTGTTAAATGATTGAAAATCTTTCAAACAATTATTATCTCGTAACCACTCTCGACAAATAAAATTTAGGGTAAACTACACGGGTGACTACCGAACTATGTTCATTAACCATTTTGACCACCAATGTTTGAAAACGATCAATCAGATCACCCAACTATTTAAATAGTTCAATTAAGTCACTGACCGTTAATTTTTAACAGAAATAATAATGTGACAGTTAATTAAATTAGCATAATTATATATTTAATTCTTAATATTTACTCATTGTATCAATTTAATTATTATTTTAACTCAATTAAATAAATTTAATCATTCAATACGAAAAATACAACCTCTCACTATATAATTGAATTAATTATATTATAATTTATTTTAATTCAATATACTTACCACCATTCATAGGATGACACGTGTCAGAAAAGAAAATTCACAGCAATTTCATGAGAGGGGATTCAAACCTGGAAATGGCTGGATGATAGAAGTAGTGCTCAACAACCGAGGTAGCCTATTGTTTGGTCTCTGACATACAACACACAATATATTCTGTTTCAGTGAGCTAGCTTGCGTTTTGGTATAAGGCGCAATAATTATATATATTTTAATTTTAATTCACATTACTAAATTAAATTCACATCTTAAAATTTAAAATATATTTTATTTTTATATTAACTTATTAAGTAATTTTATTTTTGTTTTAATTTGAAAAATATATTATAATCTTGTTTTAAGTTAAAAATATAAACATATTAAATACATTTTATTTTATTTTATTTTAAAATATATATTTTAGTCTTATTTAACTTAAAAAAATATTTTATTTTTATCTTAACTTATGAAATATATTTTATTCTTATTTTAATTTAAGATATATTTTTAAAATTTAATATAAGAATAAGATATATTTTTGAAGTTAAAATAAGATTAAAATATATTTTTCAAATAAAAATAAAATATATTTAATAAGTTAAGATAAAAATAAAATATATTTTTTAATTTTAAGATGTTAATTTAATTTAGTAATGTTAATTTAAATTAATATATATATAAAATATTAAGAATTTATACTGTGAAATAGACTATATATCATATATTGTATGCCTTAGACCATAAAAGCAATGCAGCTTTGTGGTTGTGCACTCCCATTATCATCCAGCCTTTCCCAGGTTTGAACCCCCTACACCAAAATTTGCAATTGTTGTGAACTTTATTTTCTTGCATATTAAAATTAATTAAATTCATCTTCCAATTCCAATTATATAGTGACACATGACACCTCTGGATTGGAGGATTAAATTTATTTAATTGAATTAAAATAATGACTAAATTGATGTAATGTGTAAATATTGAGGACCAAATATACAATTATGCCAATTTCATTAAATGCACGGCGAGTGGCTTAATTGAACTATTTAAATAGTTGAGTGGTCTGATTGATCTTTTCTAGACGTTGGTGGTCAAAATGGTTAATGACCATAGTTCGATGGTCACCCGTGTAGTTTACCCTAAAAATTATTTTAAGAATTCTTTACATGATTTTTTTAATATTAAATAATATTATACTCGAGTCAAACACAAATATAACATAAAGATAACTTAATTATCTAACTAATGTTTTATGAGTTAGTCAAACAAGATACAAACTTGAAAACCTTATTTTAAAACTTAGGGTAAACTACATTAGATACTAACAAACTTTAGGCGTTGTATCGTTTATATCGTTGAACTTTCAATTTTTTCAATTATAACACTAAACTTTGAATTTTGTTTTGTTTCAATTATACCACTGAACCATTAAATCACTACAACAAAATGGGTTGTTAGCGGCATTTTTAGTGGCGTTTTTTGAATAAACGATCCTTTCGATATGGTTGTTAACGATTTAACGGTCCAGTGGTATAATTGAAACAAAAATCAAAATCTAGTGTTATAATTAATAAAATTAAAAATTCAGTGATATAAACGATAGAACGCGTAAGTTTTGGTGGTTTATGATGTAGTTTACCCTTAAAATTAATAAGATGGTCTCATGTGATTTTGGAATTTTAAAAATTTAGTACACCAATTTAAACTGTACAACGAAATTAGTTAAAATATAAAGATTGAAAACATTAATTAAATTTACAATTTATATATAGTACAAAGTTTAAAAATTTAGTTCGATTTAATAAGTTTAATGCAAATAGACTAAAGATTCTCACCACCGTAAATGAGAGATCATGTTAATATTACTATGGGTAAACTACATCATATATCATCGAACTTTAGGTGTTGTATCGTTTATACCACTGAACATTTAATTTTGTCAATTATAGCACTGGACTTTGATTTTTGTTTCAATTGTACCACTGAACCGTTAAATCGTTAATGGCACAATGATGTGGCTAACGGCTGTCGACATGGCTAACGATGTCAACGTAGATACCTTACCAAAACGACGTGGTTTTGATTCGACTGATAATGATTTACGGCTCAGTGGTATAATTGAAATGAAAACTGAAGTTCGGTTATATGATTGACAAAAATAAAAGTTTAGTTATATAAACAATACATTGCCTAAAGTTCAGTAGTATCTAGTGTAGAGTACCCTATTAATATATGTATAAACACTAAAGGTCATGACTGTATATATAAATACTTCATCCATAATTCCAAATTAATCAGACTGAACCAAACCTTCTAATTGCGTCAAACTGAGATGCATCATGACCAATACCACCACCATCCGCATCAATGACTCTCGTCGTGTCGGAATCGGTCGACAAGTTCTGAGGAGTGGTGCCATAGCAGTTGGAGTTGTCCGTGAATTAATCGGCAATTTCGGAGTCTTTGCCAGTGAGTTGCTGGACCAAAACTGCGAGGCACATGTCTTGACCTTCATTGGACTCGAGATGTAAATGACTTTCAAATCTTTCTTGAAATTGTCTTTTTTTTTTGAGATCTTACTTATTTTGTTTGACGAACACCAAATGCATTCATGAAAAAAATCAAAAAGAAAAAGAGAAAGATTTGAATAGCCAGTGATGATGAACATGTGAAATAAGTTTACCTAGGGTTTTTAGGTATATATAGGGCTGTTAAGTTTGGATATTTGTTTAGCAAGCAAAGGTGATTTCTTGGAAAGAGATGAGATATGGAAAAATATTATTTGACAAAGGAAGATGAAGGTTACAAGAAAGAACGAGACGGGAAATATTTAATAAAGAAAGGTGATTACAAGATAATATATGTCTATATAATATTTAACATAGAGATAATGCATATATACTTTGTAGACGTAACTGCTTGAACAAAAGACTTTTAGGGAAAATAATTTTATATCACATGTTTTCAAATTATTAATTTTTTTTATTAATCTATGGTGATTACAAGTAGTAGTATTCGTTCAAAGGACTCTCAACTATTTAACAATGAACGGTCAAATACTCTATGACTGTTGGTGGTTGAACTCAAGACATCTAGGGATGACAATTATTCCTTTAACTATTGAGATCTTTTGCTTTGGGTCAAATTATAATTTTAAATAAATAATGGGGATGGTAAGAGGGACTAGTGGGGGCCATAATGTCCCTAAAAAATTTAAAATTACAATGCAGACTCTTTGGCCCCAAAAAATTTTAAAAATTGATATTAAACTTTAAATTTTTGGTTGTTCTTGATTAAACCGCCTTCCATAATTTCTAAAAATTCTCATTAAGTCTCTAAAAATTTCAAAAAAAATTAGTTAAACCTTGATTTTTTTGGAAAAAATGTAAGCTAAAATCTTCAAAACTTTTAAAGATTTTAATTTGAACCTCTTAAATTTTTTAAATTTTACGTTGGTCCCACCCAAATTCTATCACCAAGTTTCGCCACCGAAAACAAATAACGTTAATTGCATCACACATTTTCAAATTATGATTCTCATTTTAAATAAATTTCTAAATTCTTTAACCTTTCAAATTCATCTCCAAATTGTGAGTCGGTCCCTAATTTTTAAATATTACAATTTTATCCCTAAACTATAACTTTTATTTTAAATTAATCCTCAATCTTTTAAATATTTTAATTGCATCTCTAAACTATCTCATATGCTAATCATGTCCCCGTGTTAATAAAATCATTAAAAAAATTATTAGTCATCGTTTAAACATAGATTATTATTATTTAATAATATATCATAAACAATAATATTGTGTTCAAATAAAATAATAATTTAATTTTGAAACATATAAATAAATTGAAAGAATAAAACAAAATCAAATAACCTTTCAATTTCATTCTAATTAATGATTTCGTGGGATATTATTATTTATATCGTATCATATTATTATATACATATTAATATTAACATGATAATTAATATTTTTTAACGATTTTATTAACATGGTACGTGATATCACGTACCGATAGTTTGAGAATATGATTTGAACATTTCAGAGATTATGAACCAATTCAGAATAAGAAACAATTTAAAAATAAAATTAAAATGTTTGAAACTTTAGAAATTAAATTAAAATAAAAACGGTAGTTTGGAGATGACTATTTTATCCATTTGGTTTACATAAAACATGCTTTGAATGTTTAAAAAAAATTAAGGTCATGGTTAATTTTTTGGGAATCCATTTCAAATTCAAGCATGCGTAATGAAATGACTATTTTATCCATTTGGTTTACATAAAGCCATGGTTTTCAGAATCAGACCGGTTAGCGAACCGGTCATGCTGACGGTTCACTGGTTCAATCGGCAGTCCGATCGATCGGAAGAACCGAACAACGTCATAATTATTTAAAAAATTAAATAAAAATACCAAAAATATTTAATAAAAATATTTTTTTTATATCACAAGTCATATTCAAAGCAATTCATAACATATATAAGTTAAAAATCATAAAATCAAGTGAAACAAAATGATTCAAATTAACTACAACATAATATTTAAGGTAAAACATATTAAATAATAAATATAATTATATAACTGTAATTAAAAAATAAATTTGGGGCTAAAAAATCATAACAAAATGATATTGTTTGGTTTAATTTTTTTTAAATAATCTCACATGGCTAAGAAACATAGAAGAGCATCCCAAAAGTCTAAAGAGTAAAAATATGAGAACAAAACAATCTCACATGGCTAAGAAACATAGAAGAGCATCCCAACTAACTTCTATAAATAATAGAGGTAATTTGACATTCAAAATCATGGAGCCTTTTGGTGAGCATTGAGTGAACTATTCTTTCACTTCAATCAAGCTCGAATTTTAGGCTTTAATCGAGCTTCTAATTTTTTTTTTCTTCGAGTTCAAGCCTTTTCGAGTTCAAGTTTTAATATTATATTTCGAGTTCGAGTTGAACTTGATAATTTTTAGCTCGTGAGTTTGAGTCGAGTTGAGCTTACTTTTAAAGTTTTCAAGTTCGAGTCGAGCTTAGCAATACTCGAGTTCGACTTGGCTCGTTTAACAAACGACGTCGTTTGGTTTAAATTAAAAAAAAACAAAATTGGCGATTTTTTCCAGTTTTCAGTCGGTCCGGTTCGAACAGTTCATCGGTTCCGACCGGTTCACTAGTAGCGGTTCAACCGGTATAGATTGAACCGGACTAGACAACAATTCCCGGTTGAACCGGCCGGTCCGATCCTGTTTTCAAAACACTGCATAAAAGCATCCTTTGAATGTTTACTTTGAAGCATGATTTTTGGTTATTTCCGTTGCAGTGATATGTTTGATATTTACTCAAGTACATTAGCTTTCGCCTAGTAAGTATGATTAGGTTTGTATTTGTCTAATTTACTTTAAAATTTATTGTGTAACTAGAATACTCGAGTCAACCATCGTAATTAGGTATAAGATGTTACATTTGAAGATATCTTAGTTAGATTAATGTATGATTATATATATCGAGGTTAGGTATGTGAACCACATTGTCTCAATAATTTTGAAAATTTAGTAGATATTGTTTTTGATCACTCAATGATTCTCTCACTCTAATTTGATTTAATTTTGTAGTTTAGTTTGTATTCCGTGATGTTGTCATGTCGTGCTCTGTTGAATGTCTCAGATGGTGCATGTCATGCATCCGGAGCGAATGCAACCGAGTTGGGTGGTGGTGCCAGTGGTCCTCCTCCACCACTAGATCCGTAACAGAATCCTCCAGTTAATCTGTTGACTGAAGCGCTTATTGATGTCTTTTGTCATGTGATGCCTAAAATAATCTTATTATTTTAAAATATTATTGAGAGTGATAACAACAACCATTCTTATTTGTTTTTAGTGTACGATTCCATAGGTTCAATTAACATTGGAAGTAGATAAATTCATATTTGACTCTACAAGTCATAATTGACATCTAGTAAAACATTATGACTACTCAAGTTAAATGAAAAACTCATGATTCAAGACATTCTTAATACAACTCATGTCGAAATCTTTTTATCTCATGATATCTCGACAGAATATAAGACCTACAAATGTCAAACTTATATCGATCTATCTTCAATTTCTTGACGTCAATTAAACTGACGAAATAATAACAATTATCTCCATCAATTCATTTGTGTGAAAAAATCAAGACAATTCATTCTTACTTTCACTTTTTTTAATATAATTTGAGTAAATTTGTTCTTTAAAATTATTTAAATAAATGATATGTATTTATCATTAAATACATATAAAACATTGAGATTTTTTAACTTATTTGTTTAAATAAAAAATATATATGCATTTCATTTTTTTTTCTATTTTTCTAATTTATAATAAATTTTATAAATTTGAAAGATTAAAAATATACTATGATATTATCATTGACCTATGATATCATTTTTATTATCATATCATAAAAAAATAAACTTTTTCAAAATAATAAATAAAATTTAAATTTAAACAGAGAGTAAACATTCTTTAAATATTAAATTTTTAAAACAAAATCATTTCAAATATTTAATTCTTTAAATGCATATTTATTTTGGATATTAAATGTGTAGTATTTAATTTTTTTTATATCAATTTTAGAAAAAATATTTAAATACTAATTTTTTTGAAAATAAAACATCTAAATTATATTTTTTATTTAGGTTCTCAAAGTTTATTTTAGTTAATATTGTTTAACATTTTTTTTATCAGAATAGATGTCTATTTGATCAAAATAAGTGTTTAACTTTTCATTATATTAAAAAAATCATTATCTAATGATGAATATGAATGCAAACTAAGTGGATGAATTTTGTGATAAGGCGAGGATACTCCTTTGTAGCGACAACAAAAGAAGATGAATTTTTGAATTTAAGGTTAGGGATAGAGATAGGTATGGGTCGGGTTTTTAGTGACTTGACCCGAGAACAAAAATTCATCCACTCGAGATTTGACCCGACCCGAATATGACCCGATATATAACTTAAAAATATGATCTGAAATAATAAAAAATATTATTTTTATCTAATAAAAATAATGATTTAATTGAAAAAATATATAGAAGGGTATTATTGTAATTATTCATAAATATATAAGTAAAATTATATATTTTTCAGGTCGGATCGAGTATTTTTACCCTAAACCCGAACCCAACCCGATCGAACCCGAAATATTTTAAAAAAACTCGACTCGACCCGATCGGATCAGGTCGGGTCTCATGCTCATCCTAATTAGGGATACAACTTTTGTGAATTTATGATTTTTTATGAGAAATTAGATAAATTTAATTTTTAATTTAAGAAATTTAAAATTTTAAAAATAATTTTTTTAAAAAAATATGTAAATAAAATCACGTGTCAAATAATAACAGATTTCAATTTTTTTAATAAATTAATTTTAAAATAATTAAAAGACATTTAAATATATAAAATATAATTTAAACATTTGTTTTATATTTAAGTAATTTTTAAAGTTATATTTTAAAATAACAAGAAAATAAATAGAGTTGTAGGAGCAATAGGAGGGTTCAAACCCAAAGCTGGTTTCTTACATAACACAGTTCATCGAAGATTGGCTGTCCTTATTGATACTGTGTCAGTGTTATCTGACACAGTTTTTACAGCAAAGTAAAAAAAAATTCATGTCAAACCTCATTAAAGTTACGCTCAAAACAAAAACGCAATTAAAATATCATTAGTTCTTGGAAAGTGGAAAGATTTCTCGCAGAAAAGGTCAAGAGGGCGCCTAGAGATTGGAATATCATTATCCAACCAAGTAAATATTAACAATCAAATACAATTTTTCATCAGAAAGTATTTCACTGGGTGAGTTTTTCTGGTTTTAATCTTTCAAGTTCTGCTCTGTTTTAAAACAATCATTTCCAATTATTATTATGGGATGTTTACTGTTTGTGTTTCTGAAAAATTTAAAGAAAGTGGTAGGCATGAGTTGATTTTAACCCTTTCTTGACCATGGGGTTGGAAAAAATTGTTTTTTTTGTCATTTTTATGTATTTTTGTGGTTTTTTTTTGGCTAATGGGTTTAGGTGTTTTTAAACCGAAATTGTGTGATTTTTGTTTTGGATCTTCTAGAGTTTCCCTAACACGTTTTCTTTAGTGATTTTGGCTTGTGGGTATTTTTAGCTTAGTGTTTGATCTTTAGAAGTTTATCCTTTTTCTAAAAAGTCGTTTGCTAAAACTTGGGGTTGGTAAAATATTGCTTTTGGTAAGCTTGTGTTCTTTCTTTAAAGTTCTATAATTTAGGGTCTTTGTGATTTAGGTTATATGCCATTAATTTCGGTGCAAGTTTATATTCTTTGCTTGTGCCATCTAGATCTACTTCCTCTAGGATTCTTGCTTGTTCTTTTTTGCATATTGAAGCTTATGAACTTTGGGTTTTGTATCCATTGCTTGCACATTCATTTTTGTGAGGTTTTGCTTTGCAATCTTGAGTTGTTCTTTCTTAGAATTTGTGAGTGTGTGTGTTTCTCCATGAAATGTAATGATATTCGATGTAAGCTTGTGTTATTGTTTTTTTATTTCTTGTGCTTTTGATTGTTGAAGTCATGTACAATTCAAATGGTCTAGAAATCTGGTATTAAAGTGTGTATTTTTTTGTTGACTTGATTAGGTAACTTAATCATCGTACTTTCTCCGTTTACTTGTGTGGTTTTATTTATTTTTGTCAAAATCTGGTTTGAGAAGCGTCGAATCTTGTGTTGGCATGAGGAAGAAATCTGTAGAATTGATAGTTTTCTTGTTAACAAGTGGTATTATCCTTTTCGAAGAATGTCGGACAATCTAATCCATGTTCTTCTTGAGATGGTCGTCTTTTATTGTTGCTTGGTTGTGTATCTGAACCTTAATAAGAGGTAGATAATCTGAAAGGCTTATCTAGACAGGGGGAACTGTTTCGCTTTCTCGGATGCTTGCAATTTCTGATAGCTTTATAACAGGGTCGACATTGGTTTTTTAGCTTCATCTAGTGGATGTAGTTTTGGCTCTATCTGTTCTTTTGTTAGTTTCATCCAGTTGGTATTTTCGACTGGCTTGGGGATTGGTCGATTTTTTTATTTGATAACATGATTGACATTATATTTCTGGGGACTAGGTAATTTCTTTTGTAATGTTCTTGGCATTCTATGGTTATCGGAGAGCATTTCACTGTTATTTTGGATAGGAAACTGTTGACATTGATTTGCTCTCCCAATCACTCATATTTTTAGCTGGTTCTGGATTAATTTTTATTGTGTCTGCCCTTCGTTTATTTTTTTCCTTCATATTGTTCTGTTACTATCTTTACCAAAAGAAGGTGGTTATATCTCTCAGTTCGTTTCACGCACTGTTTTAATTTGTTTTAGGGGTATTAAAGAAGTACGATCACGATGCATGGAGCGTAGAACATCGGTCTATGGAGCAAAAGATGAGAACAAAGCAGCAAATGGGATTCCAGGTTTTGACCCACCGTTACCAATTACCAACATACTGTAAATTCCCCAGCTACTCCCTCTAATTATGGTATCGATCATCTATCAGCTTACCGTTACCAAATCTTAACGTCATTGATTCGGACATTTAGTAGGTAGGGATTTCTTTTGTGTCGTAAGGGAGTGTAGATAATTAATGCTTTGGTAGTTAGAGACGTTCAGCTTTGGTGATTGCCATGAGAAAAGATGCTTTCCATGATAAGAACTTTGTTCAAATAAGATTCTGTGTTTTAATGAAGTTATTTCGGAACGACGGGTCTCTTAACTCAGATTCGATATTTGTCGAGAATTTACTCTTCTCTCTCTCTCTCTCTACAACTGTGAAATGAATGTTTGATGGCATTGCATTGTATCGGTTTAGTGTTTTGCTGTGCCTCTAGGGGAGAGCAGTTCTCTGTTCTAACTGAAAAAACAAACAAAACTGAGCCAATCGGTTTAGTCGGTTTCAGTTTTATTAGGTAAGTAGGTTTAGTTGGTTGGATGTTCCATTAAGATGGGTTTTTTTGGTCAGTTTAATTATAAAATTTCATGACCAAATTAACCAACTTATATGTACTATTTTTAATTATTTTAAATATATTATAATATATAATAAATATTAATTAATAATTTATTTCTTTTAAAATATTTTTAAGTTGATTAACCAACCTAACCAACGGACTTTTAGTCGGTTTGGTTAGGTCGGTTTAGGCTATCTAATTCAGTTGGATGTCATTGCTTTTCTGGTTACTTGCATCTTGTAAATCTGATTTTCAGCTGCAGCAAAGGAACCACGATCCATCCGTTCCCTGCTTCAGACTTGGACACATTTGACCAATCCGTTGGACTTTGCCTAGAGGATGCTGTTAACCTGAGTGCAAGTATGCGTTCAGTAATCTAATCCTTACAAATCATGATTGAAGCAATCATTTTTAAAAATATTTTTTTAAAGAAAAATATTTTTAAAATAAGCAGACATTGCATTTGATTCAGCAAACGTAAGTCGCCAAGAAGTTCCTTCTGATCGTAACCTTATTAGCAATTCGGATAAGGTGGATTTTTCTTGTCTTAATCATGTAATTAGCTTTCTTTTGTAGTGTTCAGTAATATAATTTTCTTCTCCTTATTGATCGAAACTCAAATTTCATTTAATATATATCCGTCCACCGACCAAGCTCAATCTCCAAGGTTGCAGTTAGAAAACAGTCAACAAACGAATCTGGTCTCGATACCAAGTGGTACTACGGAGAACTGGGGAGAATCCAATATGGCTGATAGTAGTCCGAAGACTGATATCTCGACAGATGCAGATACTGATGAAAGAAGTCAGAGGGTATGCTTTATTTTGTACCCCTGCACTTTTAAATTTAATAAATCCTTTTTGGATAGTTTAAATGGTATTGTTGTGGTTCTATTTGAGCACATTTGTGCAATATGATCCATTAGCCTAGGCCCTAGCTCATGTAGCGGGGCTTGTTTTTGTTTCTGTTGTTGTTAATTGACCTCTTGCGAGTCTGACATTTTACCGCTTGCAGTTCGATAGAGGAAAATCTAGTGCTCTTGTGGCGGTTTCTGATTCCAGTGACAGATCCAAGGGTAATTTGGATCAAAAGGTCAGATAATTTCTCTTATTTGCATGGATAATAGCTAGTAATGATTTGGTCATATTGGTGACCTTTTGTTGATAATATTGTATTCTACAGACTCTTCGTAGACTTGCTCAAAATCGTGAGGCTGCTAGAAAAAGTCGATTGAGAAAGAAGGTAGGTCTTTTCCCGTTTGTTTTGTACTTCTGCTCTCAAAATCTGATGCATCTTGCTTGAGATCATTTGGTACGCTTTATTTTACATGGATATCAAATCGGATCTCCTCTATTGAGGCGCATTATCGTTTTTCTCCCACAGGCATATGTGCAACAGCTGGAGAGTAGTCGTTTGAAATTGACACAACTGGAGCAGGAGCTTCAGCGTGCAAGGCAGCAGGTTTGACTTGGTCCATCACTGCACGGGCTGTGTACTCCGTTTATTAATTTTTTTTATTCGGTCATGTGCTACTGTAACATACAGGGTATCTTCATATCAAGCTCTGGAGATCCAAGTCATTCAATGAGCGGAAATGGTAATGGTTCGGTCTTTTAATCTAATTATTGGTGAACTTTTCTTCTAGTGACTGTAGTACAAGTCTTGTTTCTCGGAGTCGTTCATTGAAGCAACGGAATGCTAGCTATCTTGTATGAACAGAAAAGATTTGTTTACGAGTTGGAGTCCGACCAAAAATCTAAAGGTAGGAGTCATAGAACCATGTCCATTTTCTAAGACCTGGCCATGTTGCTCCGGCTCTTTGTTTTCTTGAAATACTCACGCCGGACACCCATGTTCGGAACACATCGGACATCAGCATGAGGATATGGCACTCCAAAAACCCTCCAAATACAAGGAAAAGAATTTATCATTCCTATCTCAGACACATACCTGTATCGGAGTTATACACCCGGGTCTGAGTAGCATAGTTGATAAGTGATATGCAGTCAATTAAATAGTACGGGTCAGTCTACACATATCAAACTAACCAGTGCCATCTTCAGTATCTCAAAAACGTGCATTTCGAATTCTTGGAGTGTGGTTGTATTGGGTATTGTACAGAATTTTTTGTTTTCATACTAACTAGCATTCCGGACTAAGATTTCCAATATAATCATGTATTTATCGGGTTCTCTATGTGTTTTGTTTTCTTATTTTCTTCGTAGGTGCCATGGCATTTGATGTAGAATATGCGCGGTGGTTGGAAGAGCAAAACCGGAAAATTAATGAGCTGAGAACGGCTGTAAACTCTCATGCAAGCGATGCAGAACTTCGAATTATTGTTGATGGTGTAATGGCTCACTATGATGAAATTTTCAGGTTGAAGAGCAATGCGTCTAAGGCTGATGTTTTCCATTTGCTGTCAGGCATGTGGAAAACACCGGCCGAGCGATGTTTCTTGTGGCTCGGTGGTTTCCGTTCATCTGAGCTTCTAAAGGTAATTTATCTGAGTTTGCTGCTAAACTTCTTAACGATAGTCGTGTCAAACTTCATATTTTTCTCTGTTCTTTCACTTTATATTGTTTGCTGGTTCGGATACTGTTATATTGATTTCTGCATTGGCTGAGTTTCGGTCTCGACGACTAGGGAATCAGTAAGGTATTCTAGGATTAGCCATTTCAGTTTAGAAAATAATTATGCAATAACTTAAGGATATCTTGAAATCAAGATTACAATAAAATACGCTTTCTGAAAAATACATATAAAATAACTTATGGATTATATGTTATGTTTATACACCGTATACTGTTGCGATTCATATAAACACGAGTTCCTATTGATGTAAATGAAAGATCGTATTGAAGACCATGGTACAACTTCTGTTGGATCATTATATCCTTGTCTCGAATCATATGCTAAATGAGGATGAAGTAAGATCAGGCTAAATAAATGATAGATTTATTTCCTGTTCTGATTTTAGAATGATAATGATACAAAGAGCCTTACCTAAGTTGTCTGAGAATTTTCTGCTTTTCGGATCGAGACGTATATACATGAATCATATCCATGTATGTATATTCCGTTTGTAAATGGTTTCTGCATATCTCATCACTATTGAAATCGATGTTTATTCTTGCAGCTTCTCGTAAGCCAATTGGAGCCATTGACAGAGCAACAGTTGGTCGGAATTGGCAATTTGCAGCAATCCTCCCAACAGGCTGAAGATGCATTATCTCAAGGGATGGAGGCCTTGCAGCAATCTCTAGCCGAGACATTGTCGACTGGATCTTTAGGTTCGTCGGGATCATCTGGGAATGTAGCAAACTACATGGGTCAGATGGCCATGGCCATGGGGAAGCTCGGGACCCTCGAGGGGTTTATCCGTCAGGTAATTATTAGTTTTCATCCTCTTTTACCGTATGTACACAACTTGCTAGTATCGGCTGACATGAATAGATGAACCTTCGATACGAACTTGGAAGGCTGATACTAGTTTTGCTAGACTCTAAAGGCTGTTTTCTATTTTTCGATTGAATCTGTGGAGGATTTTGGTATATATTGCGAATTCAAAAACCGGTACTTCGTGTTCTGAAAGTCTGATATGGAAGTTTTTTTAAGCCATTCGTCGATCTATCGATGGTGTCCTTTATCATTTTGCGAATAAATGTTCTCTAATAAGTTGCAACGTTACCAGGCTGACAATCTACGGCAGCAAACGCTACAACAAATGCACCGGATATTGACGACCCGCCAGTCAGCCCGAGCACTGCTTGCTATACATGATTATTTCTCGAGATTACGGGCTCTCAGTTCCCTCTGGCTTGCCCGACCACGGGAATGAAAATGTCCCGTTCTATTTTAACTGATATAGGTGCTGCCGGAAAGTCAACAACGGGAGAATACTTTTTCCGATCTGGCATCTGCAGGAACGTTAGGCCTATTAACTCATCTTTCTGTCTAAAACTTATGTTTTAGTTTGGGTAACCCTTTGATGTGTTGTGTTGCCTTTTGTGAAATGGTTATAATTATATGTGCATTTTCAGCAAACTGAACTCTGAAGTTCAAAGTCATTTACGTATTCTATTACCATAATCTATCACATGAAGGCATCTTAATATATATATATGAGTTAGGATTCCCTTATACTATGTAAAATTAATAAGTTTTACATCAATTTATAATCATTAGATTTAAATAAATAAATAAATAATTTAGATTTAATTAAAATTTATAATTCATGAATAAATATTTATTTAAATCACAGTAAAATAATTTTTATTTTTATTTTTAAGAGGTAGGATTTAGGTGTAGGGTTTATAATTTATGATTTGAGGTTTAGGGTTTGAGATGGATAAAAAGAGATTGTTTTACTGGAGTTAAGAAATATTTATTTATGAATTATAAATTTTAATTAAATTTGAGTTATTTATTTATTTCAATTTAATAGTTATAAATTAATGTAAAATTTATTTGATTTATATAATTAAATACACATACAAAATCTTAACCTTTAAATCTAAAACTCTAAATAAAAATTCTAAATTGTAAAATTTAAACTATAAACACTAAATGCAATACATAATATTGAAATTTATATAATTTATCTATCAGCTAACTTTTTATATATATTATACTAAAATTTATTTGATACACATTGTAAATTTTAGTTTATACATATCTATTTTTCTAGGACTTGTTACCAAAAAATGGCTAAACTATATTATTTTTTAAAGTGGTGTTTAAACTTTTATTTTTGGTCAATTAAGGTGTATAACATTATAAATGTTATCATTTTAGGTGTCTCGGCCGAAATGACTGCTAAAATAGCCCATTAAATAACATATGTCACACTTATATATTTTTAAAGTTTTTATTTAAAATAAAAATATTATTTAAAAAAATCTCCCTACCAGTTTTCTCCCTCCCTCACCCCTTTGCAACTTTTTTTCCTCCACTGCAAATTCCTCCTCCTCCCTACTCAAATATAAATATATACACTGTAAAAAAATACTCATATTATATTGTATATAATATAATAATTAAAATATAATATAAATAAACTCATCAATTAACTTTAATGATAAAAGATAATGTTATTATCTATTAAAATCATTGATTGAAATAGTAGCATTTATAGGATTTATATATTACAATTATTTTGCAGACCCAACCAACCAGGCCACTCAAAGGCCCTAAACAGAACCCAGCCCACTACAAGAAACCCGATCCAGCAGCTCAACATGATCCGACCCAGGATTCGACCCGGTCCAGACCCTGTTGGGTTTCTTCACCCAATCACCATGCCCTGCTATCCCGTGACCATACCTCCATGACGGCAACAGTAAGACAACAATCTCCCCCAAATCACGACACCACCAAATGCATCAACGAAATCAGCAAGCAAATTATTATTTATGTTGAACATTTGTAATGTAAAGGGGGAGCCCGATCAGAAAAAACATTCAGAGAGTTCCCTATAATTTTGATAAACAAAGGAGCAAAGAAAACTTTCTTTTTTCGGCAACAGAGAAATACCAACCAAGAAGCCTTCAACTTCAGCGGACTCTCGACAACTTAATATTCAAAGATCTAAAACCATTCGAAATAAAAAGTCTTTGGGTTCTTGAAGACGGTTCGGCTCTGGCATTGGGTTCTCAAACCCCAGCAGTGAACAACGAGATAACAGTGAGGGAGGCCACATAACTTGATACCGTGACAATCTGACGGCGGAGGAGTTAGATCGGAGAGGTGAAGAGTCGAAGTTTCTTTTGCCTTTTCGTGGGGCTGGGGACATTTTCTTGCAAAATCGGGGTTGGATCCAAGTTACCGGTGTCGAGAAATACCTACCCTTGAAGTTTGGCGTTGAACGACTACCAGATAACGGCGACGGACGAAGGTCCTTCCTTTCCCTACGAGGAAGCAGCGAAGCACTCACCCTCTGTTTTTAATCTCTGGTAACAAATGAGTTTCTTTCCATTTTTAGTTTTAAATTTGAATGCGGCTTTAATCTGACATAGTAAGTGGAGCCGCACCAATTGTCATGTATTGGGAAAATTACTTATTTGGTCACTTGACATTTGATGAATTATGTTAACTTTATTTTTCCTTTAAGTTTGGCACTATATTATTTATACAATTCATTTTGGTTCTAGAACTTTAATTTTAAATTGAATCCTTAGATTTAGATTTCAATTATTTTAGTCATAATTTAGATTATTTTATCTAGTATCATTTTCTTTATTATTATTTTTAAACTTTTTTTGACTTTTTTTATTTATCTTTTAACATTTCTTATATATATATATATTAATATTTTCTTCATGTCATTTTATTTTATGGTTTTTAACATTTTTACTTTATTTTTTTTATTTTTTTAATTCAACCTTTTTTTTCTTCTCTTTGGTTTACTAAAATATTTATTTATTTATTTCTATTTTACAATCTAACATTTTTTTACTTGTTAAGGGCAATTTTAGTCGATAAAAGATAAGTAATTCGAATTGAGTCTTTAAATTTTAATTTTAATTTTTGTAATTAAGACAACCGACAAATTAAAACGGTACCGAAATGGCAGTTCAAGATGCTAATCTTTTTTTGACTATAACCGACTCTCAAATCTGGCATATTTATGGTAAAACACAGATCAGATAAGATGGTGTCCGATCAGCCTAAATATTATTTTTAAATGATCGATGATGACTCTAACATGTTTTATTTAAGTCGAAGCCTAATTCCAGGCCCATCCGAAAGACGGCTGCGACATCATCAATTTAAGAAAATTTAAATCGATACTTACTTATATTTATCTCGGAATATTCGTAAAACGATAATATGAATAGTTGGATTAGATGAGTTTGAATACTCATAAATGTTGGCTAAGTTAATCTAATGAGTACTAGTTTAATACGAGTGTTTTTTAAGAAGTTTAATATGAGTGTGTTTAAATTATCTTATTTTTCATTCATTATGTTATTTTTGTTAAAATAATATATTAATATTAAATATATAAAATAATAATATTTTGAGTATTTATGCTTTGAAGTGAAAAGTTCGTAAAATGACTTATGGAAAATCAGACCATAAGTCATTTTCCAAAAATACAAAGAAATTCAGTTGACTAAGAAAATGAATTATATTGACCATATGTTTTTTGTCAACTAAACACTGGAAAACGAAAAAAATATTTTTTGGAAAACCAATTAAAGAGAAATAAACAGAATATAATTAAATTTAATACTTCATTTATATTTTTAATTTTTGTTTTCGACTAATAATACAATTGTACCCGATTTTATTATTTTTTCAATTTAGTGTTTAAACATTTTAAAGATGAAATTAGAACTTAAATTTGGAAAAAAATGCATTAATATTGATGATCACGCAATATTTTATCAATCAAATAAATTGTGATATGTTATATTTAAGGGTAATATTTTATCAATCAAATAAATTGTGATATGTTATATTTAAGGGTAAACAATACAATTGCTCACTCAACTATTTAGCCTTTTACTTTTACTATTGATCTTTCAATTTTTGTTAATTAGACATTTAACTATTTAGTTATGTTCAATTAGACCACTTACCGTTAAAAATCAAGCGACGCATCTGACGTGTATTTTTCGTTACTTTCGTTATTCTGCGTTGGATGAACTTATTAAAAACATCATAATGCCACGTAAAAAAACTTGCTTATGGTTTTTTATATAAAGGAATATAAACCCACTGTTGGGAAATGATATTTATTTTTAAACCCTAAAAAAGCTGTTGCAAAAAAGAAGAATACAAACAATCAAGTGAAGGAAGAAGAAGAGAAGACTAAAATAAAAAAATAGATGCAGAAAACTCGTTGGATGAACTTATTGAACACATCATAATGCCACATAAAAAACTTGCATAAGGTTTTCTATATAAAGGAATATAAACCAACTTTTAGGAAAGGATCTTCTTCTTTCTAAACCCTAAAGAAGATACTATAAAAAAGAATAATACAAACAGTCACGTGAAGTAAGAAGAAAAGAAGACTACAATCAAAGAATGGATAGAGAAAATGCGAACCGATTGTGCTTCTGTGGAGTTCGTTCAACGATAACCATTGGTTGGACAGATGAAAATTTGGGAAGAAGGTTTTAGGGTTATAGAAATTATGGGAAAATGAGTTAGGGTTTGTAAGTTTTTTGTTGGTATGATCCATCGATAAGTTTTTGCTCAAAAATTGTTCTTGGTGGTATTCTTAGAAGGATTGGAGTCATGGAGCAGGAAAGAAAGAAACAAAACTTATTTAGATTTTTATTTGTTTGTTTTTGTTCTTAGTAAAGAAAATGGTTGACAGAAGATTTAGGGTAATGTTTTGTGGTTGTTATATTGTAAATGTATGTAATGTAATGTTTATCATTGTTAGGTAAAATGTGTTATGAACAAAGAAAACATATATGACCTACGTAAGAAATATATAAGAAAACATATATGAACAATTAAAATAAAGATATGATTGCATTATTCATTTCGTAATTCCAAATTAGTTTAAAAAATATTCCATACATCACATGTTTGACCAATATACATAATCAAAATAATGCATTACATATAACATATATGAGTAATGTAGGAAAAAAAAGATGTAAATAACTTAACTAAGGTTAACAAAAGGTTGTGTTATTTCCAATCACAACACCATAGTGGATCACAAGTTCACGACATGATTCATATTTAGTTAAGTGTCACTACACAATAAAAACCAAACAAAATATTTATGCTGGAAGCATAATCAAGTATCACCCTATGCATATTTGAAGATGATTGACTGACAGAACTATCCTGACTCAAGGGTACAGTGCGGTTGGGCATCCATATAACAGTAAGGACCTTTGAAGCTTGGTTTAGCGTTGGAGGAGCAATTTGACAATTTTGACTGAAAGAATTACCCTGAACTAAGTGTACAGTGGGACTGTGTATCCATCTCACAGTATGGACTCTTGAAGCTTGGTTGGGAATCCATTTAACAGTGTAAACAAAATGATGTTGTGTTGGAGTTTGCTGAAAACAATTCTAATTTGTTATATTTCTTTTAAACTGTAA